TATGAAGTATATATTCACTTAATGAGCCATCATTTTTAGCATAAATCGTATTTTGCACTAAAACTGATTTTTCATATTTTTATTTGGTGGGAATTTGATTTTCTAGTATTTTTATTTGAATCCAAATGGCGGGTACTTCCTTATTTACATTGTAAACTTAAGTAAATGGAGTAATATAAAAATAAATAAAAGTAAAAGGACAAAGACATTTACTTAAATGTTGAAAATGGAAATAAGGTAATTTGTACACCAGTTGAGCAAAGGGGCAATATAATTTAGCCATACCCATTACTTTTAGTTATTTTATTTTTTTATGAGCACTTATAATTTTGTTTTGTATGTACATATATATTTTTTTGTCTGATCATATACATATATGTAAGCTAATATAATTTTTTTTTTGTGCCCTTCTCAATCGTGGGCACCGGGCGGTGGCCCTGGTTGCCCTGGCCAAGGGCCGGCCCTGATAGTTAGTCACTGTAAATGGTAATTACAAGTCAAATAGGCGAGGATCGGAAGCAGCTTGAAACCTGAGAAGTCCTCTCCACTGTCCTCTCTACCCCTCACAGGGCTCTCTCCCTTATTTTTCTTCTCCAACAAGTTCCTCTTTCTTCCCTCACCCTCATCCATAAAACCCCCTGAACCCTTTACAAACAAGATTAAAATGGCCCAAGGGGAATCCCCACCGTCCAATTCAACATCAAATCCATCTCTGTCCTAGAACGTCTTGTTTAGCCGGCTGAACGCCCAGGCTCTCGAGTTCGTCCTAACCTGGTAACACACCCAATTGGAGAGCACGATCGATGAGCTTGGTTTGATCGACATTGCAAGACCTAGTCTTGAGAAGCCTTTCAAAGGAGAGGTCAATGGCGAAAAAGGAGGGGCAGAGAGGGGTGGAATCGGAGAACTTGAGAAGATGGGACGGGGGAGAAAGGGAGGGAGAGAGGGAGGGAGCTCGGGTGGGTGCAGTTGTGCGTTGATGAGAGGGGTGGGGAAGGATGTAGGTCAGGGTTCCTTTTTTTATATATTTAGTTTTTGTTTAATTATATGTTATTTTATCGTTGTATAATAAAAATTTGGGAATTGAATAGTGGGTGGGTCCCACAATAAACACGTCAACATTTAACGATTGACCACACAGTCAACTTAACGGAAGGATGAAATTGGACGATGTTGCAAACGTAAAGGTGTAAATTGATAAAATTGATATCATGAGGTCCATATTGAAAACCACCCCAAATTTGCAAGGTGTGTTTTGTCATTAACCCTTATAATTACTTATTTTCCATACATTTACTTACACATAGGTTGTGTTTGGTTCATGGAAAAAGAGGCTTGGGAATGAGAAATTCTCATGTTTGGTAAGTCAAGACATAAGAAATGGTGGCATGACACATGGAACATTATGGGGAAATGAAATGGGAATATCACTATTTTGCTATCCTGGCAAATAACGCTACGACACGCGTGATAACAGTTCCACGTGGCATAACATTATTGGCAAGGGATAGCAAAAGAGTGTTATTCCCATTGCAACTAAGTTTTTCTCCACCCCCCTACCCCCGGGGTTTCATTTCCCTTCTCATGGGAAACTTTGGGAAAATAGGTCAGCATTAAATGCACATTTTTCATTACCATTTTGTCCCCATTAACAATATTGCATTAAATAATTTTTTTAAATTTCATATGTGTATAATTGAAAAAGAAAAAAGAAAAAAAAGTGGTATTTCCTGTTTACTATTCTAGCATTATCGAATATGGGAAAAAAACATAGGAATTTCCCATCAAATCTTTTCCTCCAACCAAACAAGGCCAGAATGAATAAAAGAAAATAATGTGGATTTCATGTTTTTTTTTTTGTTGGAAATGGATTTCATGTTAAAATTCATAATCAAATACCCTAAAAACTAGGAATTAGATCAACTAGGGGAGTAGTTGACTTGATTCCAATTCCTTATTTCCTTACAGTGCGTTTGGATGGGAAAATTTAAAAGTACAAAGGAATTCATAAATGACGGAAATTAATGTTCTAGAATTTGTAAAGTTTCTTGTTTGGGTAACAGATTAAAAATACGGAATTTAAGCTTTATTTGTAAAGTTAAATTTTTTTAAAAACTCAATATCTCTTGGAATTTGAGAAATGACGACTTTTAGATAGAACTTAAAGTTGGGATTTATGACCTTCAAATTCCATGTTTTTTCCCACACGGAATTTCTAAATTTTTATGTTTTTTTATCCAAACATGGGAATTAGTTCATGTCAATTTAGAAATTTTGACTTTTGTCAAAATCTCAAGTTTATTTTCTCATCCAAACGCACTATTTTTTGTTTTTTTTAAAGGACATTTCCTATTGAAATGGGCGATAATATACTAAACTCACACACACTACATGAATGCTAGGACTCGAACTCATGACCTTTCCTGGGGGAGCAATTGCTACAAACCACTACACTAGTGAGTTTTTTTTTGCAAAAATTAAAAAAGAAAAAATAGTCAAATTTAAAAACCTTTTATTTTATTCTTATTCACTTATTTTAAATTCCCTGATTGATGACTTCCCCTCATTTTTTATAATTAAACAAATTAATGTCACTAATCATGCTGATTTCATCGTGCTGGATTGTACACGCGAGTAATTAAAATTTTCCCAAACATTATTTCTAGGTAACCACATAACTAATTTCCTATTGTATTTATATTAATCTAAATATTTAACCCTTTGCATTCCTCACACTTATTTGGGTATTTATTACATTTACACTCTACGCGCTTTTTCCCATTAATTATGGAAAAAATAATATTCCCAGACAGATTTAATAATTTTATTAATCGAAATCCACGTGGCAAGGAATTCGAATCAGGCAACAAGAAGAGTAACTCCCATACCCAACTGCCATCTGACGTATCTTTACAGATTTACTTTTCCTTCCTTCTAAGCCCAGCCAGCACAAATTTTGCCTTTATAGCCCAAATCCTCTACACCCTTGCTCACCCTCTCTTCCCACGTGTCTGTTTTTCATTCGCTGAGGACTCTCTGGTCCCATCTTTAACGGCTCGCAAATTCCAACTATGCTAAGTCGGCAAATACCTGATCGCTGCCTCCTCCACAAGCGCGTTCAAAACCGAGTGAAAGTCGCCTATATATATCTCTTGTTTGTCACGCAATTAAACAAAGCTCAGAGCCCTTCTCTACTCTATCTCTCTCTCTCTGTCTCTGTGGCGATGTCGAAGAGCAATTTGGTTTCTTCAAGCCCTAACCCTAGCTGGATAGGCTCTGGAGTCGGCGCGGTGGGATCCAGGGAGCAGTTGGAGATAATCTTCAACAAGTTCGACAAGAACGGCGACGGAAAGATCTCCTGCGACGAGCTCAGGGACGTGTTCGGTGAGCTCGGCTCCGATACTTCGTCGCTGGAGGAAGTGAGCAGCATAATGGCGGAGTTCGACAGAGACGGCGACGGCCACATTGACATCCTGGAGTTCGCGGAGCTCATGAATGGCGGATCGAGCCAAGAGCTTCGCGACGCCTTCGACCTCTACGATCTCGACAAGAACGGACTGATCTCGGCGAGTGAGCTTCACGAGGTGATGAAGCGATTGGGGCTGAAGTGCTCGCTCCAGGACTGCGTGAGGATGATCAGCAACGTCGACGCCGACGGCGATGGCCACGTCAACTTCGACGAGTTCAAGAAGATGATGAATCCCCGTTGATCCTCCGTACGGGTGCGTATTTGGCTAGCGATCAAAATTCAAAATCAAAACAGTGCAAAAAAGAAAAGCGTAATCGGAATTATTAGATAGTCTTCTTCTAATCAGTAGTTTGATTTAGTTTCAGTTGCTTAGGGATTTGACGTAGTTAATTGGAAAAGTGTACAAAATTAACATCGTTGGTGCTAATTGGATCCACTATCGTCTTTTGGAATTAAGTATTGCTCTTCTCGTTTCTTAATTTTCTTAATTTTTCTTTTTAATTTTATTATTATTACTTTTCTATGGGGTATGGTTTTGGTACTTTTCTTGATAGAAAGTGGTGGAAGTAGCGAAAAGGTGGGTGGCAGTAATAATGTTAGGTGTTGTTGTTGCCTCAGTGATTTGGGTTTTGCTGACCTCAACGCGGAATTGGGTGCGTTGGGTGCGTCTCTCTCTCTCTCCTCGTCGTCAATGTCTCAGTGTGTCCCTAAACTCTCTTTTTTGGTCGAAAGTATTTATAAAATTATTTTAAAATATTGACCCCGAGATCTGTGGAGAAAAGGAAAACCAAGTTTTCAGATAATGTAAAAGGTGTTCGCAAAGTAACCTGATGTTGATTGGTTGTTTGGGGGACTAAAGAAATGCATAGCGTGTGGACTTGGGGAGATATTTTGTGTGTTGAAAGTTACTCTAGTTTCCGCTGACTCTAAATTAGGGTGTTTTTGTTAATTTTTTAAAGTCCTTTTTATACAGGGAGTATGATTCACATGCAAGGGCCCACATGTGAAGCCCATGGTGGGATGGCTGCCAGCTGTGACATGTGGAGCCTTTTAAGACAACGATGCTCTTGTTGGTCGTTTGAGTGGTTGTACTTTTTTCCTGTTGTTTTTAATGTTTTTTTACAGTGCCAATAAAAGCTTCTTTTTTTTATTTTTTTATATTTATAATCATGACTTCTTATGTGTTTAGAATATATTTTAGTAAGATTTAGGAGATATGAGATAGTTTCGAAAAATAAAAATAAAAATTAGTCATATACTCATGCTTAGCACTATTGATACAGATAAATCCTACACCATTTAGTGTTTTGGATTTTTTTAATGAGGTTTTGGGATTGGGTTTGTTTTAAGAAATCGATAGCAGTTTTGTAATTTATAAGAAGTTAAAAGACTCTTTGTTATGTTGTAAATGAGCTTTAGTTGTGTTTCTAAAATCTATTTCATATAAGTTTTTTTTTATAATTTGGGCCCCTATATTGGGTATAATAGTAAATCTCCCCCCAAAAAAAAAGATATATGAGATAGAGATTGAGTCAAGGTCTCCTTTGTTATTGGTGTTGCCCTTCATGTTCAAAATCCAGTAAAGATAATAGACACTAAATTTGAATTTCAAATGAGATGGCATAAGCCACATCAATTTTGAATTAATCAAGTTTCTCAACATGTATTAATGAATGATTAATTGGGTAAATAGTTTCAAAAAATAGGGCTAGGAATTGGGACAGAAAATCAGCCGAACTAGACCGGCTAGTTAGGTTAGGTGCGATTTATTGAAAAATTAGTTAGTAAACTAAATTGAAAGGCTTTTGATCAATGAATTGGAGATTTTGTTGTAGTAGCCTCCATCCACATATGTACAAGACGTGATATAGCTTTTCCTATAAGTGTACTAAGTAGGTTTCATTCAAATCATGGTCAAGCACAGTAGGTTGCAGGTAAGAACATCATGAGGTATTTGCAGAGAACAAAAGTTTACATGTTGGTGTTTAGTAGAAGTAATATAGTCACATCAGCACATATCAGATGATTGCAGATCCACTTACTAAAGGACTTCCAAATGGTGTTTTTCATAGACATGTGTTGAGCATGGGTTTAAGAACAGATATGGATGCATGAATCAATGGGAGTTTGGTTTTGTTTAAATAGCTTTTCACTAGCTTGTTTAGATTTTGACAGTTTGGTTTGTTTCAATGGATGTTAATTCAGTTTGAGGTTCAATTAAGTGTTTTTCTTTTAAATTAGATTAAAGTTTAATTTATTATTTACTTGTATTTTGAGACATGAATGCAAAATAGGTAGCAAAGCTAGCATTTAAGGTTGCTGCATATGGCATTCATTCATGATGGTGAAGTCTCTTTGTTTATCAAAGGGAGAGACATATTGGTAGTAATATAGAGGGGCACATGAATTAGCATGGTTTTCACATAGCATTTACAGTTTGTCATATTTGTTCAGTATTTAATCTTGATCGAAGCTTATGTGGTTATGAAAGATGTTAAGTGTTATTATAAAAAACCTTGAAGTATCAGATATTCAATAAATTCTTGATAATTCCTTCTTATTCTTCTTAATTGACAATGGCTTGGTAGGAATTAGTTTGAGTTATATATTTCACATGGCCTTAATGTGAGCAATGCAAATTCTTTTGTGATTAATCAACCAAGTGGGAGAATGTAAGACAATTTATTGTCTTAATCCACAAAATGTGGTCTTCTAATCACATGAGGTCTCTAGGAGTTTGCCTAGTTCAAGAAGTAAAGCTCAAGCTTAAATCTCTTGTTAAAGTGCTATTCCAATCAGGGACGAACCCAGGATTGGAAAATGACATGGGCTAAATTCAAGGGCGAAGTTAGAAATATTTGTAGGAGTAGGCTAAATGTTGAAACGAATCCAATGATTGATATATTTTTTTAGACTGTGTTTAATGGATGCCTTTTTTTTTTTGGGTAAATTATAAGCTCTTGTTTGTTACCAAAAAAAATTATAAGCCCTCTTTTTTCAATATATATATTTTCTTTATCATATTTAGAACTTTTTTTCTATTCTACTGACATTTGAAACAGACAAAAATCTTGGAATTATTGATAATATTGTTGAAATATTTGGAAGGGATTGAAGGGAAACAAAAAATAAAATAAAAACACATATCTCATCCCAACACACACATCCTTTTTTTCCTTATTCTATTTCCTCCTTTCCCCTTTTTTATTTTATTTATTTTCTCTCTCTCTCTCTCTCTCTCTCTCTCTCTCCGATTGTTTATCATCTCCCCCTTTGTTTTTTTTCCTCTTCTCTCTCTCTCTCTCTCTCTCTCTCTCTCTCTCCGATTGTTTATCATCTCCCCCTTTGTTTTTTTTCCTCTTCTCTCTCTCTCTCTCTCTCTCCTTCTTCTTCCGCTCTTCCTTTTTCTTTCTTTCTTCTTCCTCTCTGTTCTTTCTTCTTGTCAGTCGGCTGATTGCCTAGGCTAGAGTACTAATTTAGTCCCAATAAAAAAAAGAAGTTCCCTGGGCTATAGCCCAGGTTAAAATGTTCATGGGACTGTCCTTGATTCCAATTGAAACACAAGAGTTAGAGGATTTCAAATTCTATATGGATTGAAATAATAATCTAATGAAGTTTGGTATCTGGAGTGTTTCTTGATGGGCAAGGCACTCGAGTGAAACATATAAATAGAGGTCCCTTCCCTAGCAGTGAAATACACTCAAACATAATCTCATCCCATCTAGAGAGAGAGTATTAAGTATTGCATAGGTGAAGACGATCCTCTATTTCCATCACGTCTGATCAAGGTTAGTGAGTTTAAAAGCTTGTTAGGAGTTACATTCATAACATACAAATAGTAGTACTCAAACAATAAGAAGGTTGTAAGAAAATTGTGAGTGCACCACGCTTTGCATTCGATTCCGGACCCCTCCCTGTACATTAGAGTAATTTAGAATATCGCTTTATAAAAAAATAAAAATGTGCATGCACAATGTCAAGCCATGGAAATGTCATGCTACGCACGGGCGGGGGTGGCAATTTCCGATATGACTCGTTACACGACTTGAAACCCGCACAGAAAAAACACGACACGAACCCGCACGATTAAAAAACGGGTCATTTTTTGGTCAATCCGCTAGTGACCTGTTTATAAATGGATGGGTTTCGGGTCATTTAACTCGTTTTTTAAATGGGTCAACCCGCCAACCAGCTAAAATACCTATATAACCCGCCAACCCAATAAAATACCTATGTAACCTGTCAACCCGACACATGTTTAACCCGTTTATTAAACGGGTCAACGCGCTAACCTGCTAAAATACCTAGATAACCTGCCAACTCATTTCTTTATTTTTTCTTCATTTTATTTATTTTTTTATTTCTCATTCTCAATCTTTATATATATATATATAGAGAGAGAGAGAGGCAAAATGCAATAATTATTTTACATAAAAAATAAAAAATGCAATTACTTGATTAATTTATCCAAATAATTTAGATTTTATTTATTTATTTTTTATTTGCTTTCATTTAGCGGGTTAACCCGACAAGACCCGAAACCCGCACAGGAAAAAAAGGGTCAACCCGAAAATGACACATTTATTAAACAGGTTGGGTTTGGGTTTAACATTCTTGACATGTAAATAATCCTGACACAATATAAACCCAACACGACACAACTCATTGTCAGCCCTAGACGAAACCACTCACAAAGCTACACTGGCTGTAGCCCAGGTAGCTTTTTGAAGAAGGAAAAAATGTACATATACATAGTCCACCAACAAATAAGGGAACTTTGGGATGGGACCCACATGATGGTTGTGTGCACATGTTCTTTTATTGTACAACAGTCACTTGATGGCCGAGATTAATTTGGTTTTCTATGGCTAGATTTCAATTTTTTTGGGAAACGTGAAGCTAATTGCTAAAATGATAAGGGTATAGAGATTAAACAAATGACATTCAAACCTAACGACAATTCTCAATGGTGCAAATTCTCAATGGTGCAAATTCTCAATGGTACAACAAAGAGTTTGATCCCAGGGCCTCCAATACCACAAAATTTACATCACAAAATTCACATAGCCAGCCATGAAGTCTGGCTGTTGTTTAATGCAGATTTTTAAACAAAAAGAACCTATATGGCCTACCATAAACTACAGCACATTAGGAAAATATTGATTTAGATGATTGTATATACTGAAAAAGAAGTTGATGACAATATCGATTTAGATATGATGACCGAGGATTTTAATTATCTCAAGAATCGCAGGGTACAGCTTGAATATGTACACTTTCAATTATATTATTTTTTAGGAGCTTTTTTGATTATGTTGTTGAACATATATTTATTTTGATAATATGTATTTTGTGGTTGTATTTAATATGTATTTGTTTTATGTTAAATGTATTTATTTTTTTGGTTTGTATGATTTAATGATTACTTTTATTTATAGAAAAACTATAGAAATTTTAAGTTTTTGTAAAATATAAATATAAAAAAGATCATCAAAGTTTAAGCTAAAAAATTTAGCTAGCCCAACAGTCGAAAAATTCATGGTTCAACAATTTATGCTAAGTTCCAGTAACATTAGTAACTTTAGTATCTTTAAAATCTTCAACTTTCTTGCTGGTCTCTTGGATTTTCTCCCTCTTGTTGCAACCTGCTGAACACCAAAGTACAAGCAACATTTCAATTCCAAGTCTGCAAAACGGCTAAAGCTTGTATGCTTTACCAATAGTTGAGACCCTATTGGGAGATGTTTCATCTTATATTCCTACTAATGTAATTTCTATTACAGATGGACAAATATTCTTATTTGTCGATTTATTTAATGATGGAATCAGATCGCAGCTCAAATTATGTTTCCAGGGTAGGATCCGCAGCTCAAATTAAAGCCATGAGGTCATATCTCTTAACCGTTTGATCAAACTAACCAATTTGATCTAACGGCTAACCAATTTGATCTAACATCTAAGAGATCATCTAAGGGCCTTAGATATAAGGCCTTCACTATAGAATTCTTATATAGCGAGGCACAGTTTTTGGGTGGAACAGATTGGGAGAGAGAGAATGTTATTGAGTGTTGATTGTGGTTATGTCAAGTTTGAGATTTCGAATAATGGAACAGAAGGAGC